ACGTATAAACACTTCGATGGATGGTGCTGGAAAAATAACGTCAGATGCAACATACGTTCCATAGAACCGCTTCGTGTTAGATTGGTAAAGGTTGGTTTGGCTGATTGTTTGGACATTTTGACAGCTGACCACGCTCGTTACCACTGTCATCGTGAAAGGCATCAGCAATCAAAATGCAAGGCTAATTGAATACAAAAGCCTTCGATAAACACGGAATGCGGTTTATGGTGTAAGGTTGAGTAATAAATATGATCAGTGTTATAAAACGCAATGCGCTGAAATGATATTAAAAATAATCTCTCAATACAGCAAATTATTATTGTAAAGCGACGGATGATTCTTTTTCCAAGATAAATAAAATTATTGTTCTATTAATTGATTTTTGGAACATTACACAGGATTTGATAAAATTACTATTATGACCGGTGCAAAGTCAAAATCAAAATTTCTTTATTCAATATAAGTTTAATTTAACCTCTAATTGAATGTCAAAAAACTACCACTGGTTCACTAAACTAGACCTGACCAAGGAAGAATTAACAAGAACCTCTTATCATTTTCTGTTTTAGGTAGACCTTTGCCCAGCAGTATTACATATATAGGCTGCTACTTTACTATACTGTCCGCACTAGATGTTTGGTTCCTCAACCATGATCAAAAATATTATAAGACCGTTTTCTCTTATAATAAATCTTAACAATACCCTATAGTTCACGCGTTAACTGCTTTTACGTGTATTTCATTTGGCCAATTAATTATCGAGGGAGATCCGAGAGTGGCCTACAAGGTGCACCTACTTATCAATATTGTACAGACAATGAGCCTCTGCCTGAAAGACGGCATCGCGTAGGACGAAGCTAATGTACGCGTCTCAGTGACAAAGCGGGCGCACACTAGCTGGAGGCATCGGCGTGGCTCCCGTGTCTTGCAGTTAATGACGTCATTAAATATGAACCGCCCCGCGCAAGGAGTCGAGCCTTTCTGTACAGTGATATAGAACTCGAGGAGCTTCCCACCTCGGGCGGGTCCTCAAGGATACAAGGATACCCTTCAAGGTGTGCGTCAAAAGGCCGCGTCGCGTTGCGCCACTTGGGAAAATGGCTGTTGTTTAAGCGTCGTACAGTTTGAATGCTCACGATGCGACGTGGTGATTGTTGCATGTATATGTTTGAAAAAGAAATTCGTTAGAGCGGTCTGAACGCTGGACTGGAAGGTGACGGTTGGAATCCTGGCAAAGATAAAAATTTTATTTACAATAAAATTGTCACAAAACTTACTATTTTAAGTTTCAAGTGCAGAGATTAGCGCTAAAATTAGGGATTAAATTTTAACAACAAAAGGGAAATCTCTAAATTTTGAGAATATTGTAAGAATTTAATTTGAGAAAGTGCGTTTGCTGCAAAGGAAAAACCAAAGAAGACAAAATGTCGTGATTTTCGCCAGGTGGGAATATCAACTGCTTAGCTTAGTAGACAGAGGGTGTGGATTAGTGATTCGGTGAATAATTTTGCGAAAATTTAACTATTCACTGTGGTAGGGCCACACAACAGCTTCGGTGGTTGCACGAATGGGTAGGTCAATCTGGGCACCATGACCCCACAGAAAATCGGCATGAAATGGAACTATTATACTTTGCGCAGCGTCTAGTGAGCGCCGGAGCCCACTTTATTAAAAGGTGGCAACGTATCTGCAAACCCACGGGTGTTGCAAAAGTCCACGGGTGGCGGTTATCACTTAACATCAGGGGAACCGTCAGCCCGTTTGCAACTCCCATAAAAAAAAATTAAGTAAAGTGTATGGAGTTGATTTTATAAAAGAAAGCAATACCCTGTTTATAGTTTATTTCCGCACTAAATAAATAAACGTTTCACGTATGTATTATTGATAATGCCTGCGTTGACTGAACATAATCAGAAAACTGTTTATTAACAAGTGTTTTAAACATATAAATAATATGTGACAATCAGGAGCGACTGAGCTAACATAATTAAGAGAAATTTATTTAAGCAGCCCACACTAAAGCACCATATAACCCACATATAAGGTAGAATAGAATAATTAATGTAGGTACTTTGAAACAAGATGTCTGGAAATCTATATCTATTTGCTTTTTCTTGTCTCTTGGCTGCTGCGATTTTGTGCTAATCTTATTCAGAAAAATTAAAAAGAAAAAAAAACCTACATGAAGTCAAAACTTCTTTCCAGATTTTTTCTTGATTTGTTAGTGAGCGGGAAGTATTTCTAGACGAGCAAAAAACTTGAAACTATCTTTATATAGTATATAATTTTTCTGTACGTGTGTATGCCACTGAATTCCTTCTAAACGGCTGGACCGATTTTAATGAAAATTTTTGTGTGTCTTTAAGTCGATTCAAAAATTACGTGGTTTATATTCACAATTCAGAACACTACAACACTTGTAATTTTTTTTAAGTCGTGTGTACAGGACAACGTCCATCGGGTCCGCTAGTATTGTATAAATTAATTTTGTCCATTCGACATATGAAGTAGCTGAAGATCAGAAGTTACCAGAGACATTTTCACAAGCTATTCCATCTTAAAAATATAAAATGATTTTGTCAATATTGACAGCGCCGGACACGAGGCTACATTTGGACTTTTATTACTCCAAGATAAGCTTCTAAAGGTCGGTAAAATTCCAGCGATACAAGCATACTACTGGCCACCTGCTATTCATGAGATTTAAACGAAGTTTGCTGCATTCCGAACCTTTTAGCGCACTTAATGTGTCAAAAGCGTCTTTTAAAAACAAAAGTACGATGTGCCTACTACATTAAGATGCAATAAAAATACCATAGATAAAAAGTGGCAGATGGGACGTCGAATGGTTTTATTCTATAAGAAAATGGGGAGCAATGGTGGCTTATTGGATAGAGCTTCCAACTACGGTCGAATTCGTTGGTTCGAATTTAATGTCGTTTCCGTTTGTTATATAGAATAATTTTTCGTGTTTGATGTTTTCAAGAACAGAAAAGCATCATACGCAAAATCGTTGTTTAAAAATGTTTGATATTCGCGTAAATATCACATTCTTTTTAAAAGATCTAAAATATGAATTCAGTTATCTGTTACAAAATGCGAACGAATCATGATAATTTTAAATATTGAGTAATTTTACGCGTAAGGTTGTACCAGATATCTCTAATAAAGCGTTCGGCTTAGTCCTTCGCCTATCCTTGCGAGAACACGATAAGTTATCGTCAGACAACAAAGTTTTGTTTCGGGGTTCGGTGTATTACAATCAAATCTTATCGCTTCCTCTTTCGAACACTCAACACATTGCGTAGATTATAGTAATGACTCATTTGGCTATTTCAACCAAGTTTCGTGAGCAGTTCGGCTGATAAGCTCACAACAACCGTCTGTTCCACTCAACGTATCTTTTCGTAATTATGATACATTGTAGAACAAAATGTTATTACTGATACCAACGTATATTCCCTCCATTATCTAAGAGCAATGGGAATGAAAACATGTATAATGTCTAGTGTTCTCGTGAACTTGGATGTTTATTAGTGACAGCTGTTTTATGCACTTTTTAATCTGTCATTTCTTTTTTTAATTCTCGGTGTTTAAAATACGTGACAGGATTTTCGTAAAGAATATATGACCAAATGTCATAATAAAATCGGGCTACCGTCAGCTTTTGTTCATTTATTTTTACAATGTTTTGAGCAGCTTTTCTATGAGTATGAATTTTGATATATATTGAGATTGGAGGTTGGATGTTTTTGCTTTCAGGAGACTATTAAAGCTTCATTGACGCAAAACGACCCACGGGTTTAGGAGAGTTTGGAGGTATTTAAGACGATGAGTATATATAGCCTATTTGATACTGAGGTATAGCCGCGTACTAACTTCTGCAGTACGCAAATAGACAGCCCTGTCTAAAAGTATCAGGGCCGCTTTGAAAACGACGTGAAGTAAAAGTTTTGCATTTCGCCTGGGTGAGATAACCGGAGCCTACTCTTCAAATTGTCGATGTCCATGGGAGGCAGATATCACTTAACATCAGGAGAATGTCCCTGCACGATTTTCATATTCTAAGACTAAAATAACCAAAGTAAAAATAATAAGAAATGTAAATATAATAAATTCAGCGATTTTTTTGTGTAATACGGAAGCTATCATTAATTGAATAATAGTATACATTGATGCGACTATAAAACTTGTCTGTACCCTTGTTTATGTAAACATTTTTGATAATATTATGATAACGTAAGTGGACAAGTAGTTGCGGCTCTAATGGCGTCGACGGTCGTGACTCTGACAGATGCATGATATTTATACAATCCGTACGTAGAATTGGCGAGATCTTCAATTGGTCCTCTCATGTTTAGCATTGGTACAAATTGGGATGATTGGGCTTTTCCAGTTGTCAATCATCTTGCTTCAATGCTGACTAATTGTTTATATAATTCCGTACTCATTTTTGTAAGCGCTTTAAAACGGAGCTTGCGTTTTACAAAGCCTCGCAAATTATATTCCCAATTAACTCTCAAGTTTGAAACTCGTAGGTCTTTTTGAAGTCAAAATTATGTTCAATGATTCGGACACTCCGATTGAATAATATAATGTGGATGGAACTGCAACAGAATTATTAATTACAAATTCGAGTAGTAAATATTTTTTATGGGCTGATTTAATAAGTGCCGTGCCGGGGCTAACCTTTGGCGTGCTACGATGAATCTGTAATCAAACAATATTCTTTGTGCGTTCGCGCCTTTCACTTGATTAATGATTTAATGTCTTCAATAAGTTTTGATTGAAAATTGAATGAGCCGGCACCGGACCGTCCGTGTAATAATCTCGACCGTCCAATTATCCAATTTACGTATGAGCTAATTCTATCGCAATTTTCCATAGCGCGTCAGCAATGATGCATCGCGAACATCGCACGCAATTTGCCACGTGCGCGTAGTTGTTTGACATAGCGGGGCAGTACCTGGTGTTATGGACAATGGCGGTGCTCAAAATCACTTGAGCGGCTCGCGTCTATGGGTATTATGATTAATGTCTAAACAGCCAACGGAGGGCGGTTTAGGCACGACTTGCTCTAATGAAGTCGGGCCTCGGGCGCGGACGTTCGCGGCTATCTTTCGAGAGTCATTTGTCTGCGCAAACCGGTCGGCTACCGCTTCAAATTCATAATTTCCCAATGACTCCGTATCGCTGACAACTGCGTTTATGGCTGCGGCCGATAAGATCTCTTTGTGTGCCATTAGCTCCTCTGATTGACGTCTCCGGTTTGTTGTGTGTAATTCTGTTCGATATTTAGAGCGTTTAGTGTGCGCCTTTTTTCTGACGCGTCAAGAGCACGTTGGAACGGACAGCCGATTGGCTTCGCGGCCGTTCGCTTTGTCCGGATGATTATGCAAATAGCTTTGAGTGGATTTCTTTCGTCGATGGGCTTGTATTGTAACATTTCACATGTTTTCATTATCACGATCTCTTGCAAAGATTAATTGCACTGATGTCAGTGCACTTGTCTAAGTAAATGATGCAATACTTCAAAATGTAAAAACAAAATTGATGCTCGAGGAGTGCTATTCTGATTATGAAATAAGTGAAAGAAGAATGAGAAATTTAACCTATCATCAATTACTGAAGCAATCGGCAACACTTAACTATACGTTAATCCTATTTCTGAGTTCGCTTAACCGACATACATGTATGTCTAGATTTGTTTTAATTCGTCATCATCATCGTAATTTCAGCATTTTTATTCCGCTGCTGGATCCAGGCCACGTTCACAGACTGCCACGAAGAATGGTCCTGTGCCACCTGGATCAATCGACTTTCCGCGCACTTCTACAGTTCGTTACGCCATATAGTGGAGGGTTATCCTACACTGCGAATGCCAATACAAGGTGGTTGCTTTCAACTCGAGAGCCATTCTGCACCTTTGAGCTTCCTCATACGGCCAGCGGTGAAGGGCCACATGTAATTAAGGTTAATTGAATAGATATAAAATTAAAGGCTTAATAATATAACTATTATACTTATATTAATTATATTATATAAGCTTTCAAGTGAGACGCAAGAATGTTCGTATGTTTGTACACATGCACGTTTCATATAGATAGAAATTTATAGGTCAGGCAGAGTAACGTTTAACTAGTCATACTGGGCAGATTTATAAAGACAGGTTTTTTTTTTCGTTTCTGTTGAAAATTCGAAATAAATAGAATATATAATCTCTCTTGTGCAATACCTATAATTTGAACAAATATCAAATCCATCCATCGGGTAGTTTTGGAGCTTTGTGGACACAAACATGCACAGCTAAATTTTTATATATAACGATTGCATTCGATTATTAACTGCAATAATTCAAAACTATGTACATGTACCTTACGTTTCTTTTGGTGTGTAATGTTTAATTTATTAAAAAAATATTGCACCAGTAAATTAATTTTAAACATAATGTTCCAATGTTTTAGATCGATCTGATCATAAATGTCTTCTATGCCTTTCCTAAGTTAAAGTAACATCCGCAATAAGCAAGGAATTAAGGCGTCGTTAAATAAAGCTATTAACGAAAATTTTACACAGTGTCGCCTTGTATCACGTTAAATATTCAACATCAGAGTAAATTATTCATAGAAATTCTTGGTGCTTGGTATCGCTTAAGCAACTGCTTCATTGTAAATTTCTTAGTTTAAATTTCGTCATTCCATTACAAAGTTTACAAATGTTCGCTTTTCAAAAGTTTCTTTTTAGAGGGTATTAGGTTGGTTCCACGTACCAACCTGTATATAACTTATACCACAGCTGGGCAAAGGCCTCCGATTGGCAAAGGGTTTTAGTACAAAGTTTGGTAGTTGATTCCACTAAAATCTTTCGTTTATCTAAAGTATTTTCCAAGTTTCCTCTCGATGTTTTTCTTTACATTGAAAAATTGCAAACAACATATTCATAAGTGCCAGGAATTCGAACTCAGGTCACTTGAGTATAACAAATCAAAAGCCAGGGCACCGTTGTCACGGCTCTTGGTAATACGTTATTGTAAAGTAACAGCGTACATATGCCCTACTGTTCAGCAAAGGCCTGCTCTGTACACTTACTTGGCTCAGCGAGCCAAAGAGGATCTTGGCTTCCGACACGAAAAGACGCCACTGCTCTCTGTTCTGGGCTGTTTCTTGCCAATTGGCTGATTGGTGAGCTCTCAGATCTTTTTGGGCTTCGTCTTTCCAGCGATATCTGGGGCGACCAACTAGACGCTGCCCTAGTGGTTGCCCCATATATGCTCTCTTGACGGCACGATCCTCCGAGTGGCTCTTCTCCAAGTGGCCGAGCCAAAGTGGTCTCGCGGCTTTCGTTTCACCGATAATGTTGGGTTCGGACACAAGATCTTCAATTTCCTTATTTTTCCCAATTCTCCAATTGCCATCCTCGTCTTTCACCAGTCCCAGAATTTTCCGCAAGATCTTGCGCTCTGCCACTAAAAGCTGATGCTCTTCCTTTAACGTCAGTGTCCAAGCTTCACAGACATATATTAAGATAGGTCTGATCACCGTCTTATAGACACGTATCTTAGTTTTCATGCTAATAAGCTTGGACAATAGGAGTTTATGCAGGGCTGCTGTGCATCTTAGGGCATTTTGTATGCGGATATTTATTTCGTCCTCTCTCTGGTTAGTTGCAGTAACGGTAGTACCTAGGTATTTAAACTGGTTTACACCTTTATAGATGACCTGACCAACAACAAGGTTATCCCGCTTTCTTCTGATATTGTTGTAGCGTTCAACCTATAGGTACTCTGTTTTGTCGCTTCACCTCCTCTGTATACAGGTTTTTTAATATATTCGCCAATCTCAACGGTATTAATGTGTTGTTAAATAAAACTAATTTATGGATTTTTACTGCTTACCTCACCATAACCTTTAAGTAAAAATTATTTGATTTTTTCTGATTGGAATATTAATATATAAATAATGTAACGAGGCGTAGAAGAGAGTATTTTAAGACTGTTACTGTTCTTAGGAGACTAAGCGAATTTATGTCGATTATATTAATTATATATTAATAAATAAAATTATTAATATATATTTGTCGATACAGAGTCATTTATTTTCAATGAAAAATTGAAAATAAATGGCATTCAACTCGTCCAGCGGTCAGTGACCCGATCATCATTGTGTCCGAAGCCGTCGTTGAACTTGGCCAATTTGACACAATCCATCGTCTATGACAAAACAGTTGCACTTAAGCGGCCTAATACGCCTCAAATCGATTACCCGGACGACACTTAGCGTTGCATAACAGTGAGCGACTGAGTCGAGAAACAATGGCCTCGTCTTATCGTGACTTGCCGCGTTCGCTGCAAGTGGGTGCAGGCTTTCATCGTAATTAGAGTGCGGTATCGGCGCATTTCTAGCATGCTTTGACCTCCTTTGTCTCACTTTATGACTATTTTTATCGGAGAAAGAGATCTTCGAAATACGATAGAGATATTTGTCCTTCGTTCGGGAAGACAGAGTTTTGTGCTGCTTAATAGATCAAGTAGCCTATGCCAGACTCGGAGTGTTGGCCGAAACTCCATGAGCTTTCATTTCGTTCAAGCTATGTACACATATTTAACTTATATATTGTTTGAAATGCGAAAGAAAAATGTAGATAGAAGACGTTGAGAGTTTCGCTGGTATGCCATTTAGATTAGTAGTTAACCGTCTGGGTACGAATCCCGAGCACGTGTTCGATTCCCAAAGCGTCAAAAATTTCTTGTCCTTTTTTGTACAAATTTTAATATGTAGCTCTTATTAATAACAGCATTTTACTGTAGTCGACATAATCAAACTGCAGTCGGATTGATTAAATATTGACATAGAAAGTCAGCCCCAAAGAAATGAATAGAATTCGAAGTATACGATGATGCACAAAAATCAGTCAATTCTTATCCAACGAGAATATTTTTTACAAAAATCGTGATATGTCTTAACGCTTATATTGAAACTTAAAACCAGTCAAACAATTTATTACAGCGAGTCATTAAATAGCATTACTAAAAGTATGCGTGGTGCTATCGAGATTCAAAAGAAATTAGTTTATTTTGAACACATGAGAATATAACACTAAACTGCCATGTTAACTATAGGGTACAGATGGAGCGTGAATTGTATATCGAAATATGGATTTACTAATTATAGTCCAATGGAAATGTTAACGACTTTGGAATCACATGTCAGGGTGATAAAATAAAATATGGATTTTAATTAGTATTTAGTTGTAACGACAACGAGAACTAATTAGGATGTTCTGGGTTAAGTGTTTTGAGTGACTCGATAGAAGTACAAAATATAAATTTGTGAACATTTTTTAGTTAATATAATCATAATGAAAGATAGGGTCCGTCTAAAATGTGATTTTCTCGCGTTTTGTTATGACGATCGAAAAAACGTTGAAAACCTACCATCTACGTTTCTGAACATACAGGTGTATGGAATTTGCTCTGAACGTGCAAGCCCTCTGACTGTTGCTGTTTTTATACTTAAATGATTCTCTTTACTTACATAATAAAAAGAAATGAGATAACAAGATCGCAGTTTTATGCCGATTTGTCTACGGACAGGTCTATTGCAGTGAAGCGGTGGTAGTTTTTTGACGTTCAATAAGAGTTTAAAATAAGCCTATATTGAAAGAAAAAATTTTTACTTTCACTTTGCACCAGCCGTAACAGAAATTTTATCAACCCCATGTTTTATTCTAACGCCAATGGCATGCCTTTTTCGCATCTCGCTCCGACATCGGGCTGGGGATCTGTTCGAAATCGGCCAAACAACAAACACCCGAGTTTGGGCTAACTGCACGGAGGTGATAACACGCCATCGCTAATCCGTCAGACGACCGAGCTCCGTAAATTTATCCCGTACGCGGATATTAAGTCACAAACTGCGCTACGCTATAATGCTACGTTACTACACGCGAATACGTGTAGCGGTTGTGAAGCATTTTAATTATTAATAGCCGAGGGAGTCGCTTGAAACTTAAATTGGTTCGCGAAATACACAAGGGGAAGTATTGATGTGATCCTGATTGCTCTGAATAAGCTGACGGAACGACGCTAACTTATGTCATGATAAGATATCGTTTTAATACAGGTTTTCTAATTCTTTGAATATAGACATGAAAGTTAATTGTTAGCTAGCTAAGTTCTAGCTACATATGTAGAAAAGTCAAAGTTCTGTAACGTTATGTGAGATTAGAAAAACGACGTTTATCC